TTATGTGGTCGTTCTTGTATGACAATCAAAGCATGTGTTTATTATGTAAACAACTGGATTTCGATCTTGCTCATGTCCATATCGCCTTCCTACTGGCTGTGTGTTTCACCTTGTCTTTTGCCTCTGATATAGTTGCAAGCAAATGAGCAAAGTCGCCGTAAAAACCATTGACACGGTCTCATGTCATTTTACCCTTGGATCTGTTGGAAAGAGTAATATTTTACCCTTAGATGTTTGCTGTGGCATTTCGTGCCTGCATGTTATAATGCTGTGTTTTTCGGATACTTCTTTCGTGTCTAAGCATGGCCCGAATTCTAAGTCTCCAACCAAACAGGATGTAGGAGTCCGTATATCTGATAGTATTTCAAAAGAAAAATGAAAGAAAAAGAGAGTGCTATTAGGACACCACTACTGTAATTTCAGCTTTGTTTGGCCAACGAACGTCTCAGGCGGGCAAAGCGGCCTCGCCGCCCGTCCGCGCCTTGCAGACGCAGCACTCTGCCGCTCCACCTTGACCCCCCATGGCCGCGGCGCGCCGGCCGTCGAGGTAGTGCTGGTAGACGTAGGAGAGGAACCCCCAGACGGCCATGAGCATGGCGACGGCCTTGATCCCCGTCATTCTGTCCCCGAATAGCACCACCGCGAACACCGGCACCAGCGGCAGCGACACGGTGCCCGTCACGTTGGCGAACAGCGACGACACCCTCGTGATCAGCCGCAGCGTCGCCACCGACATGGCCTGCCACGACACCGCCGTCCCCACCAGCGTCGCCACGTACCTCGCCCGCCCGTCCTCGAACGCCGCCATCTCCCCCGGGATCATCCGCCACTCCCCCGACGCCAGCAGCCCGCACACCGCCACCGTGGCCGCCACGAAGTTGGTGCACATCTGCACCCGCAGCACCCACCGGAGCGTCCTCCCCCGGATCGCCTTCTCGAAGGTGACCTCGATGAGGGACAGGATGAGCGCGAACACGGCGGAGGCCGACAGCGTGAGGATGAACCCCAGCGTGTACTTGCCGCGCGGCAGGTCGGCGGCGGAGGTGCCGTCGGAGGAGGAGCCGACGCCGAGCAGCGCGGCCGAGAAGGTGAGGACCACAACGGAGTTGGCGATGAGCGCCGTGAAGCGCTGCGCGTTGATGAGGCGGGAGGTGACGGAGTTGAAGGCGAGCTGCGTGGCGGCCACCAGCGCGAAGGTGGACACCGGCAGGTACTGCAGCGCGTACGAGTACATGAGGTTGTCGAAGCCGATGAGGGTGCCGAGCCCGAGGTAGATGGGCACCATCTTGGCCGCCGCCGGCCGGGGCTCGCCGGCGGGGTCGCGCGGCGTGAGGAGCAGGAGGATGGCCAGCAGGGGCGAGCCGCCGGATATCGTGAGCGTGGCCATCCACTTGCTGTTGCCGCCGGAGTTGTAGTAGTAGCGGCCCAGCAGGGTGCCCACGGTCTGCCCGCAGAGCACCACGAGCATGTCCAGCAGCACCATCAGCCACCACCTGACGCCGCGTGTTCCCGTCCCCGGCCGTCGTTGACGCTCGGCGGCATTCGGTGCCCCACTGTTCTCGCCATGGCCGGATTCTTTAGCAAGTGCATCAGTAAAGCCCAGTTTATTTTTGCAGAAGAAACTGAAACTGAATACTGATTGTAGGCCAGGGCTGCAGTGTTTCTGCTTTGCTTCCATTCCAAGTTCCAACTACTGATTTATAAGAAACAACTTGTGAATCCAATCACATGAAGATAAGATGACCGGTATGGTATGGGTGCTCTGTATTTAGTTCCATTCTCCAATCAAATATATGAAAGCTACATGCATGATGTGCAGATGCAATGAGTGAAGTAGTTCCTTTTTCGATTTTTTCTCTTGGCGGAAATATTTAGGCCGCGGATATTTTAAAGAAGGTGAAGAAATTACATCTCGATGCCTGCTGTTAGTTGGTAAGTTACTGTGAAATTGCGTTGCTAGCTAAGCTAAGCTAGTTGAGGGCCGCGCCCACGACCAGCGCAAGAACAGGCCATGCTGGACTTCCATGACGACCCATCTCTGCCGGTCCATTTTCTTCAGAAAAAAAATGATCAGCTGCGAGAACTTGGAACGTGCGCAGCCACTGATATAAACATCAAGAAAACAACCACCGGAACTGATCGAAACCACATAAAATTACATAATCACGCTTGAGGAACGCAAGCGGAGGAAGTTTACCTCTGATCTGGAGCTGGATTTCCTGAGGACTCGACATGTTGCTCCAAGAACAGAATGAGATGGTGTATGTAATCTGCTCGCCGTTCACCTGTTGTTCTTCTTCCTTCACACCCCTCGGCCCTCGCTAAGTGAGTGCTACGAGCGATGGACCCCTGGCTTCTTAGCAGCATATATATTGACCAGGTCACAGAATTGTTTTCAATTGTTTGATGCCAGTGAGCGCACATCCATTTCCACCATGATTGGGTGATATTTTTTTTTATCCACGGTGGAGGACCCCACGCCAACGTGGTAAACAACTTTGGTCTACATGCTTGGAACTCATGGCCCCACATCTCACTCAAGCCTGTCATGCGCCGTCCAGATGATGCATGATTGAGGTGCATTAGTTCCAGCTTGACTAAGGCACACACGTGATAGACTTTTATTGAAACGGGGCTAGAATATTTGTCTTGTAGTACCATGAAAAAACAAGAGAATTGCCTAATTAATTCAGTGGAATCGGATAAAAACTGCTACAAATGCCACAAAGGCGCACCACCTGTCAATCTGGGTATCAGTACAAATGAAAATCCTACACCTACGAAAAGCATACTAAGTTTACGAAACCTTCCAACTAAACCAAACATCACAACTAGGTCTGTTCATCTCAGGCCCGGCCCTGTCGGCCCACCCAGGCCCGGCCCTAAAATCCAGGGCCTAGGCCCGATGGGCTTGCTCGTGGGCCTACGTTTTGAGCCCACCAGCAGGGCCTGGATGGGCTTGGGCTTGGCATATTGGCATTTTAAGGAAGAGGCCCAGCCCATGGCCCTAAGCCCTAAGGGCTTTTGAGGGCTTTTTACTAGATGCGCTGGGCTTGGGCTTGAAAAGTAGGCCCGATGGTAGGGCCTGGGCCTCAGTTTTTTGCCCTGGGCTTTTTTAGGCCCGGCCCAAACCCGACCCGGCCC